AGCATTCGGGGCGACGCCCGCGCCTGTAGCGAGGAGACGCTGCGTGACGCCTCCCTGGGTGCCACTTCACCCAGACGCGCCCATGACAGGGCCGGCCAAGATGTTGTCAGCACTGGAAGGAAGTAATGTACAAGATTTTCCTACTTTTTGGATACCCGGACCACCAATACGAGTTTTTCTAGTATAAAATATTCGCAGATTTTTGAGAAATCATTATCCCAATATTTTCTTTTTTATACGTAAGTACGTAGTAAAGCGAGATAGTAAAGATTCATTTCCGAGATTGGTCTATGCTTTGTTCGTGGGGCGCGAATTTGATCTTCACTGGGAATGCCCCCGGAGAGGCTCTGGTTGGTCAAGTAAGTGAAGGTAGATAACTGGGAAGAAGGTGGGGCCAAAACAAAAAAAGCTGGGTCAGACTCGTAAGAAACTTAACTTGTATGAGAACGTCTGTGCCATTCTGTTGCACCAATAGGTAACAATGGCGTATCTACCGCCTGCCCGGCAGGTGCAATTACCTGAAGCTCCCAAAATAAAAATTGTTCTTTTGATCTAACAGAACACAATATTTAAATTATTTTCTGAAAGAGGTTTTTTATTACTTATATCGACTAGTGTAAAGTTCGAATTTCGTTTTTTATGATGAGGACGCGAAGATGTTTTCCAAATTTGTAATTTGACATTTCGGAGCCCAATTAGTTTTTGATTCATTTAAAGTTTTAGGGAACTCTTTTCTGGATTTCATTATCTGTGATTTGATACATTTCATTTGTACATAAAGGAAGGCTCAAGTCAAAAGGTGCAGATGTATCTCTCATGGTGATCTCTCCCGGGGCCCTCTTTAAATATATAAAAAATAAAACTATAGCATATTGCGCACAAAGAATAAAGTCACAAATTCATTAAAACGAACCTGGGCATCGTTATACTCATAGATAAGTTATTCGAAACAAAAGCCTGCTGGACTCGATTCTGAATTTTGGGATTGATTTAGATTAATAAATTTTCTTTCAATTACTTTTCAGCACGCTTTTTTAGTTGGACATTTTTGGAGGGGAGCCCCCATTTAGTTTTCAACCAGGGCCCCTGAAGGGCTAGTTATGCCACTGATAGGTAGGTCTATTGCTTAATTTTTTCCTGGATTAAAGGGACATCCACTTGTGAATATGGTATAGAAAGTCTAATTTTCTTTAAGACCTGTAAAATTTCAAAAATTTCAACTTTGAAAATCGCCAATTCTGTGTTTATTTGCTGAAATGTAATGAGATGGTAGAAGAAGTAGTAGAATACAATTTACAATTTATAATATTATGTATCTTTTACAAATAATATGAGTAAGTAGTTGCTGTTGTAGCCTCTCTAGTTGAACATTTAATAATCTCATGAATTCTTAGAAAGTCTACATGCATTGAATTTATCAACAGAATTGTGCTTTCCTGAATGCCCAGGGGGAGAGTTGAGTGGGCAAGAGGGCATCTGTATATAATTTATTTCTGTATTTGGGATTCATGGAGATTCCTATTTAAAGTATTTACTAGGTTCAGGCTGATGTTGGTGATAAGATTCTTTCCCAAACTTCTGAAAAAAACAACAACAATGCTTTCTTTAGTTTAAATCATTTAATTATTTTATTATTCTTTTAGTTTCTTTTTTTTCCATTAATTCTTTTTAAGGTTTCAATTGTAGCCTATTTCCAAAGCACTGCAATTATTTTGAATATCGTTGCACTTATGCCATTTATTAGCTTTTGTTTTGTATCATACTTTTTGTCACTTTTCTTTTGGGCACCTTTTCATCGTCAGCTAAAGCAATTGCAATATTTGTCATTAAACACTGAAATAAGAGTATTAATAACAGAAATATTAAGTTATTAATATTAATTATTGTTGATGGCATACTAGAAAATGGGAGATATCCATGGGGAGGGAAATAAGGAAAATTTACCCTCCCAAAATTTTTCAGTAGCTAATAATTTTAACTTGTCACAAAACTTTCAAGCTAAAATATTTTCTTTTTAACAGTAAAACAAATAAAATTGTATCACAATGTGAGCTGAGTTTAGCCTGCCTCTTTGTTCTACATAATATGTAATACGACACATTTGACTAAAATATTTTGAATAAAAAAATTTGCCATCCCAAAATTCGTCTCTCGACCCTCCCCTGGAGATATGGTATGTGAATTTAGCACTAGTTATAAGGAATGCCATTCAGTATTTAAATTTGTTAAGAAAGTTGAATGACACTTATTTTTTATTACAAAAGGAACACTGTATATAAAATGATAGAATAAATACATTTTTTGAATAAAAGACATTTTATTATTAAAATAATTCAATTCTAAATCAAATTTATATGCTACATTAACTTACATTTAGTCCTATTAATTATTTTTAGTGCTTAATTATTTTTCAAGCTTTTTTTTTTTTTGCTTGTTTTAATTTGAATTTCATTAATTTCTTAGGATAGAAAACAGATATTGCATTTATTTAAAAAATTAATTAAATGGAACAGTTCACTATTTCATTTAAATGAAGTGGCCATGCAAATTTTCCTACATGAAGAATAAAACATTATTTAATATTAGTAAGCATTTAAATTAAATGTAATTTATTCAAAAGATATATTTTTTGTTTTCGTAAAGGAAGCACTAATTCAGTATTTGCCTTTTCCGTCAGTTTACTTGGTATGCATCTGAGTAACTTTATATTCAGATTCATTTAAGTATAATTCCTGAAAATGTGGTTGGTGGATATAGAAAAATAATGTAAAAATATTTGCAATGCTATTCCCAAATGTCAAATTTGCTGAATTTATGTAAAGATCTAGAAAATTATTAGAAGCTAATAGAATGTTTTTATATCACTTTCGTCCTGCAATTTTGTTTTTGCAAATATCTATTACAAACAATATTGTGTTCTAAAAAATAATCTGAAAAGCACTATGAAATTCAAAATAAATTATGACCTACAGATTGTACAATATATGAATATGTTATTAGCTGTTTGCTAAACACAAAAAGGTTACGGAAGACATAACCCAAATTTTTCTTTTCAACACAATATTTCCTGAACAAATGAAGTGAAGATTTTGTACATTCAGCAATAAAATATGTACATCTTCTCAAAACAAACAAGATGGTTTCAGTGAACATAAAAAAAATGCTTGTATGAATACTGCTTCTATTCAAAACATTTTGTTTCCTGATTTTCCAAGAAACAAAATTTTAAATACAGAACATGAGTTCAAAATCAAAACTCATTTATGGTTCAGAAATAGCGACAATGAAAAGCTGAGATAGTCAATAATCGGAAAGTACACAGATGAAATTCCTACAACAGCTTGTGGGAGACACCTTGAAAGACCAACAAAGAAGAACACATCACAAAAAGGCTCCAGACAAAGAATATAGTAGAAAAGATAAAGGAGAGTGAGAAGAAATGGTTCTCCCACATTTCTGTGAAAGTTTATTCTGTAATAATGAAGAAGACTATCAAAGGCAAGGCTGAAGCATAGGTTGATACGGCAAAGAGAGGTTGAGAGACCACAACTAAAATAGATAAACCAGGATCTTCTCAAGGATTAACCTCCAGGCCTACTGATATAACTAACATGTGCATGTGATGTAACTAACATGTGTAATACATGTATTATCCTACAATTCGTGACGATGATGGTTTTGTTTTTAACTGCATGTGAAATAAAGACAAATGTATTTTCCCATTTAAATCCCTAGTGACTTTTGTTGAAATCAAGAACAAAATGTTTTTAATAAATAATAAAAAATGCCTTAAAATGCTTGGAGTAATTTTAGAAACAATTTAAAATAATTTAATATAACAAGAATTCAAAATGAAAATATATTAGGTAAAAATAAAACATGTACCATAATATATTAAAAATAAAGGTAAATGCACAAAAATGTATGGAACCTCACAATTCCTCACTTTTTCTAGCTTCTTTATGAAATGTATAAGTCTATTTCTTATTACTTTATCAATAAAGATAAACATAAGGCAAAGAAAATAAACGAGATTTTTTAAAAATTTTAATGATAATATAATTTATTTTTTTGTTTTATGATAATATTATAATGTAAGGTAGGCTGTGTCGAACTGACAAAAATAAACATATATAATAATTATTAAATTTACACTTCTATGAAAATGTGATGCTTTTGTATTTGTATTTTAATTTTATATAGTTGTTAAAAAAGAAATAATACAATATATAGCGGGTTCCTTCTGTTTCTATTATTGAAAATAATAAGGCACGTTATTGGAGAAAATTCTGGATATGTTAACAATCTATCTATGTGTATGATAAACATGTACCCAACAATGGACTATGTTCATTAACAGTGACAAGTCTGGATTATCTTAGTAATTTAGTTATCTGCTCATAGATATTTTCTTTAAAAAAATCTTTGTTACCCTGAATGCAACCAGGTCCTTCAAGTTATTTAGGCACTTTTTAGTTCACTTTTTATGTCATAAGATACAAGATGAATTTCCAGTTTTTATAGATAGGCAGTCCCAAAATGTTAAAATATCAGTATTTTCTCAGGTAAATTCTCTTTTGCATTTCTTAAAGTTAACTTTTTTTTTCTTCTCCATTAATTCTACTCATGTCTTATCTATCAAAAACAGATGTCCTGAAAAATAATATTATAACATGATAAACATTTTTTGTATAAAGCCAGGTCTTTCATTTCTTGCTTTTCAATGGATATTCATTTATATATAGTATATACAGTCATACATTCTCTTTCACATTTCTAAAAGTTAACTTTTTCTTTCTTCATTAATTCTACTCCTCTCTTATCTATCAAAAATAGGTGGCCCGTGTTTCGTATTATAACATGAAACATGATAAACTTTTTTGAATAGAGTCTTTCGTTTCTTGCCTTCCAATGAATATTCATTTATATGTAGTATATAGTCAATTGCAGTCGCTTTTGAAAAAAATAACAGGGCAACAAAATGCGGCCCATCGACCAGGTCCATTAAGAATCGAATCCTCGATCCGTTCGTTCATTTCGAGACTGCAGCGCCTCTGGCGGTAGAATGGGCCTTCAAGTTATGTCCTGCAGAACCTCCGCTTCTCCAGTTGCTAGTGTGCAGTGAGAGTGAGGAGGTCGCTGTTGTTGAGGTTGAACTAGAGGGGTTTCAGTCCTGCAACCAGTTTGATAGATCGCAACTGGTGAGTAAACGGTATCGCAAAGAATACGGTTGCGTTATCCGGAGACGTTTGGCGGGGCATATAAAGATATTATTTTTGTGTTGGGTTTATTGAAAGTGCATGACAGCCCATTTTGTGTATGTTACATATAATGACCCCGTTACGAAAATATATTTATTGAGTTTTTCCACAATAATATTATCAAATGTTGACCACCTAAGTTTGAATATATAATTCGTTGATGGCATTTCATCAATTTTTTAAAATATATTTATATTTTAGTCTAAACGCGTGAAGTTGGTTTGTTCGTGGAACTTTTGCGAGCTTGCATTTAGTTGTAACTTGTTCACATGAAAACTAACGGGACTCCTGAGTAAAGGTGTTCACAATAGTTCTGAATTGTCAATGGTTTTCTTTATTAGTCAGTTTATTTCCTGAGATTAGTCTTTGTTATCCATTCTTTGAAGTTTTATCCAGTGAGTTGGAGTTGAACGGTTCGAAAGGAGGGTAGTAATGTACCTAGAGTCTGTTGTATTTAATGCGTGTTTTTTATGTGAATGAAAGCTGACGTGCAAGTTCATAGAATGTTAATTTTTCAGGAAGACTATTTTGGAAGATAATATGGCTAATAAACGATTTTTGAATTGTTTCTGCGTAGTTCGAAAATTTCAGAAGATTCGAAACTGACAGAAATTGCGAACGCTAATAATACAAGTTCGTTTTGTTTCTGTTCAGTTTATACCTGTTGATAGTCTTCCATTACACAGTACGCGAAAGTAATGTCAAATTCTTTTTTGACATTTTCGTATTCTTTAGACATTTCGTTATTTCTTAGTCGATCGATGTCACAATTGTTCTATTCAAAACCACATTCTTTTGCATTGAAGTCACTACGCCCTGATGCACATATATGACGCATCCATATTCTCTTGGTACCTCGTTATCCAGACAAATGACCCGGTCTTTTCCATTAGATCCTGAGGACATTTGCATTTTGCAGTATTGAAACGAACACAATTCTCTAGAAAAATAAAATAATGTGGTTACTCTTGGCTTTCACAACTTTCCGAATTCTAATAATTTGACAGATGATCCAAACTATTTGATGGGCGTATCCAATATAACTTTTCAGTCAATCCAATATAACTTAACAGTCAGATATAACTGTTGTCTTGGGCGTCACATTTGATAATTCTGCAATATTGACGATTTTAATATTTTATTTGATCCAGAATCCTTGAAAAAGTTCTGCTCAAACTTCTTCAAAAATTCCTCATGAAAACCGAAGTGTTTCGTCCATTGTAGTTCTGTTTCTCAACCTGAAGCTGACAGCAATTGTTACGCTTCACAAACTAATTCCCATGTGCTTTCAAGCCGGCTTCCATTTTTTGTAGCTTTCCGAGATGTCACTATGACTTTCGACAGTGTTTGACATTAAGGTATAAAATTCAAAGAAAGAAAAGTAGGTGTTTCTAATTGTAGGTCATTTGCAACTTCCTAACAAATCTTACATTTTCAGACCGCATTCGATCGTGATTTTTCTCCCTGAAACATGTTTGCCGACACCCACAAGGCCCCTACCACCTCTATTATTCAACATTATTTGAGACATATCCTCCATCAGGCTTCAATATAAATGGCGTTCATTGCAGACGACATTGCTCTACATACACGTACGCCTTTTAAATACATTAAAAAAAGCACCTCTTGTGTTAAATACATGAAATGGAAAATAAGTCATAAATGGAAAGTAATTTGTTGTAAAATAAGTTCAGTTTCTATTTAGAAACTTGGAGTCAGTGTGGACAAGACATCCAAGGAATGAACAGTTCTTCGACACTACAAGACGCGGAAAGACGATTAGAAATTTTGAAAATTGAAACACTGTCCCCACAACAATCAAGAAACTCGAACTTTTCCAAAACAGAATGTGGAAAAGGCCAAAGTTTGTCAATAAACGAATTATCCCTAACATTATTTCCATTGAACCCATGACATCTCAAGTCACAGAATGTATACATTTTTTTATTTCAATCTTCCTTCCGCTTGTGTTATCTGGTCTTAATATAAACCCCTTTTACCCACAGGCGACGGTCTCTCATTCTACATTTTCTTCTGATGTTTTGCAGAAATTTCAGAATCGTTTCCCATCTTTCCATTTTATTTATCTCTTACCGTTTTAATTGATGTTCCAAGCTGGTTCTATAGTAACCTACTTTCAAAAGATAGAAGCCACCCAATTCTGATAAATGATGAACATAAACTGTTTTGTGACTGGAGAACTTTACGTTGAACGTTTTTACTGTCATTTTTCAATAAATTCAAGAATGTTTTATGATAAAGACTTTTTGGCGTAAAAACAAAAGTTATTAATACTTTCATTGGAACCATGTACCACCTAAAGCGTGCCAAGTGAGACAATCTAGACTTGTTGCGAATTCGTGACACTCAAGCCATTAAGCTTTTTTTTCTATCTGTTCACGTTCAATTTTACATGATATGGATACAAGTACGAATAATAATTATACCACTAAATATAGTTCATTCAAATACTGCCAATGTCAGCGGGACTATCTTCTACTATCTTTACTTTCGCCGGTAAATAGAGGGATTTCAATTGAAAAACTACGCCGCAAATTGTCAATTTCAAATTCATGGGTTCGTGTGTGCAGAGGTAACACGATAGGTGTATTTGTACAGCTGTCACTGTCTTGTCAAGGCGATGCAAATATTTGTAGGGATCCCATCAAATTTTAGTAGTTTGAGAAACTGGAAGAGTTGAAGGTGACTACAAGAGGTTGGACCATTGAAAAGTGAGTGTATGTGACAACTGGGAGGGCAGAGGCAGGCAGTGTGCCTCGCGCCTGCGTCGTGGGTGTTGGTTCGGCAAGCGCCCTCACGGCAAGCGCCCTCCGCGGGTGCATCTCGAACAGATTTCGCTTTCGCACTGCTTATCGTCTCAAAATTATTAATGAAGCACGTTCACTCCCTCCTCTACTTTGGTATATACATTCGCATACCCATGTGTATATGCGATTGACGTGAATTGCAAAAATATGATATTATAATTCACGAACTTTAAGATTAATTCCAGAATAGGAGACAAATTGAAGTAGTATAAAAAGAATGGAACGCATATTGACGCTGCGAGAGACATCAATGCAATAATGGCGCTTCGGATACGAAGATAACGAAGAAATAGGAAGAAATCAGTTTGATGCCATTTGAAATCGCAATGATTTTTTAAGAAAGTATCAAGGAGACATGTTTAGCAGAGTCCACTCTCGAGGCATTCATTTGGCAAAAATGTGCATACAAACAATGGAAATTGTTGGAACTTGAAGCCCGTGCAGGCGGCTCTGTTTTCTCACTCAATGTCGTTTTTCGCTAGTAGATTTTCCACTTCTTGACAAATAGTAACAAACGCTCAAATTGTATGACGAGGACTACTTCTTAAACTGTGGTGTAAGTGACAAGAGACCGTGAGTTACATCTGTTCTGTCATGGGAAGCCACTTCAAATGAAGCAATCAAATATCTCATTTGTATCTTTCAATGTAGACGAGTCATTTTTAAGGCAAATAAAACACGAAGGCAAGCAGTGTTTAATTCTTAATAATAATAATAATAATAATAATAATAATAATAATAATAATAATAATAATAATAATTGTCGGAATCGCCGTGGCGTCAGACGGTTGCGGCAGCCGTCGTCTGTGCGTGATAGGCTGCAGGTTCGAGTCCTGCGTAGACATGTCGTATATGTGATTTGTCCCTTCACCATCATACATCTCATCTCATCAAATCATTCATCATCATCATCATCATCATCCTATGATCACATAAGCCACACTACAAGGCGTAACAACCTTGTTGTAATCAAAGATACAGCTGAAAAGCTGATCCTGGAAGAATTACACACGTTAATCGTGTAGCGTGGTCAGTAATGGCCTATTGGCCAATAATAACAAGTGTTATATTATTATTTATTATTATATTATATTATTATATATTATTATTGTATTATTATTATTATATTTATATTATATTATAATATTGTTTTTTTCTGGTTCGTGAGTGTAAGTCATAAATTAGAAAATGAGCATTACATTGCCGAGGTCTCGGCCGATTTGTTCGGCCTTCATCAAAGACACAATACATTGAGATGTTAATTTTCATTACAAAGCAAATGCAATGGAACATTTAAAGGTCATAAAACAACGAAAATAATAAATACAATGTTTCACCAGGCTTACCCATACGATTCTAGAAATAAAAACTGTACTTTCTTATGGTGCCCCATAATACGAGTGTATGTAGCATCACATCATGGACGTACTCTTTATTTAAACAGGCAATTGCCGAGTTTAAAATTACATCATACATTATGACCACATTATACACTGCTCATAAACAAATATTTCAAACTTTCGTTAAGCTGTAGAATTTTTTGTACCTTTATGTTTCACACTTTTAGTTTACAAAAATGAAACGTTTTTTGTTGATACAAAAACAAATAATCAGATGAAACAACGCATCAAACAAAGTGGTAAAGACAAAAGAGTAATAGAAGTTATATACAAACAAACTAAAAATAGGTCGTCATTCAGTACTGTGCTACACGCGAGCCATTCCAATAATGGAATTTCCGAAGCTTCGAGGAAGTGCCTGGTGTCCATAGCAGAATGTGAAATGGCTTCAGCATGCATAAATGTGAATATTGTCTGCGATAGCTAGTACATGGCTGCCTAGAGACGCCTAAATGTAGTATACGTTTATCGCTCCTGCGTGACGAAGTCATTTTTATGGTGTAGAAAAAAGCCACCTCAAACTATCACCGATCCACCACCGTACCAGCTGAGTTGGCTTAGGGACAACAACGATTGCCACTGCAGGACCCTGACCGGGGGGGGGGGGGTCTTTAGTCTTCGAGGCGGATTTTCGACAGTAGCTAGATAGCTAGGTCGAACTAAGCCGCTGACTAGAGGAGAATTCTAGAGGCCGGGTGCTCTGATCGGTAGTTTTCCGGGGTTTCTTCGATCAATACCAGTCGAGGCTGGTGCAAAACCCTGAAACGGGCAATGGACCGCGCGGTCTCTCCCTTCTCATCCTTGACTTCCCCTGTCCCCGTATTCACACACTACCTCACATTTTGGGAGACCAGACGGGAACATAGAGCTTGTCTCAGCTGGGGCGGTGGCCCGCTGCCGGAGATACCCGAAGGGAGAACCACCGCAAGCCGACGTGTAAGTTGGCATTAGATCTCATGTTCTAATGAGGGAGGCTACATCACTTCACTTCACTTCACTCACTACTACACGGAACTAATGGCTATAGTAGTTGACGTGCTAGGAAACGCCAGTTCAATCAATCCACCACCGCAAGCAACTACGTCCTGCAGGTTGCAGGGCAGTTCTCCTCCCTCACGGCACCCATCCCTTATATCCGTCCCAGAAAGCTTGAATCTGAATTAATCCGAGAACAATTATGTAGTGCAAATTCCTAACTGCCAGCACATGCTGCTGGAGACTGCAGACGCAGAATTTTCGACCCTAGCTAGATAGCTAGGTCGAATTCAACAGCTGTCTGAAGGAGAATTCTAGCGGCTGGCAGCTCTAGTCGGTAGTTTTCCGTGGTTCCTCCGATATTGATGCAAATGCCGGAGCAGTTCCCTACCAAACGGGTCCCGGACCGTGCGCGATCTTTCTTTCCTTTTCCTTTCCTTTTGCCTTACGTACACTAATGTGCACTACTCTACCACACATGTCGGGAGCTTAGTGCTTGTCTCGGCTGAGGCGGTGCCCTGCTGGTAGGAGATGCCTGGTTGGAAAAATCCCGCCGTGTAGTCCGGCGCCGGCTCCCACCATCCAGCGGGGGAACATCACCGCCATCTCCCGCGATGAAAAACATTCACTACACTTACGAGACTAATGACCTTAGTTGACGCGCTCGGAATCACTAATCATTCAATCGAATGGAAAAGGATGTTCTTGCCTTTTGCTTTTTTCTGCTAACCATGCGTTGCTGCTTTCTGTGACTTACATGACGAACCACTGCTGGTTTGGCTGGTGCTGCCACAAATATCACTGCTACGAGTACAATTCGAGGATTTTTAATTCGTATTCAATATTATACCACATTAATGCCTCCAAATGATGAACAAATTACCCTTCAGAGTACAGAGTACAAATTACCACTTCAGAGAAGCAGAATGTGTTCACCATACCATGCCAACATGTTAA